CCATGGTCCTGTCTTCTTGTGGAGGGGGACTCAGACCTTTTAAGAAGGGAAACGGAAAGCAAAGTATTAGAGCTGCATCCCAGATATTTTTCCCCTAGGTTTTTGGGGGACATTTGCAGATATTGTATATCTCCCAAAGTCATTTAAAACTGATTTAAGTCAGTTTAAGCTGATTTAAGTTAATTCAGCCAGGTTTGGGTTTTCCTCTTCAAGATAAGAGCCATGGTGGCGCAGTGGTTAGAATGCGCTTTTGCAGGCTAACTCTATCCACTGCCATGATTTTGATCCTGACCGGCTCAAGATTGACTCAGCCTTCCATCCCTCCAAAATCAGTAAAACGAGGACCCAGATTGTTAGGAACAATTATGTTAACTCTGTAAACCATTAGAAAGGGCTGTAAAGCTCTGTAAAGTGGTATATAAGTCTAAGTGCTATTGCTATGATGAGGAAATGTATTCCAACTTTGCGCAGTCATATTCAGAATGGGGTCTCCAGGCACCTTTCAAGAAGTAATAACAATGTGGATTAAAATCATGCTGCCAGCAAACATGTACAGTGATCAAGGAAGTAATTTCAGCCCTATATGGGGAACCAGACTAAGAAACATACACCATGTGGATCTTCCTATTATTAGAATAGCGACATAGGCTATAATATTAGGCATTATAGATGAAAGATTATGAAAAAGCAGTCTCAGCTCAATTTGAAAGCATTTAAGGAAAGTTAAAATGTTTACTTTTTCTGGCAATGCTATTCTCCAGTTGATAACTTTTATTCATTTTGGTGGAGACAACTATTCCCCCACCCCCACCCCACTCTGTCTCTCTCTCTCTGTCTCTTTTTGGAGAAGAATGGATTGCAAACATTTATTTATTCACTTTGCCTTGTTCTGAAAATGGGAAATGTCCATATTCATCAAGGTGAGCAAAACACTTTTAGAAATCTTTGGGGGTGATGATCAGAGCGATACTCTAAATTATACCGATACTAAGATCATCAAGTCCCACCCATCTCCAAAAGAGAAAAAATAGAATAAATGGGGGGGAAAGAGTTTTTAAGAAAATTAATACAGGTAATCCTTGATTTACAACAGTCATTTAGTGACTGTTCAAAGTTACAATGAGACTGAAAAAAGTGACATGATCATTTTCATATTTTCAACCATTGCATAATCCAAATTCGGATGCTTGGCAACTGGCAGGTATTTGTAATGATTGCTGTATCCCCAGGGTCATATGATCACCTTTTGCAACCTTCAGACAAGCAAAGTCAACAGGGAAGCCAGACCCACTTAATAACTTTGTTATTACCTTACCAACTGCAGTGATTCACATAACAAATGTAGCAAGAAAAGTTACATGATGGGGCAAAACAAATTTAACAACTGTCTCTCTTAACAACAGAAATTTCGGGCTCAGTTGTGGGTGTAAATCAAGGATTAGCTGTAATGAGGAAAGCATCAATCTTGTGCTAACTTTTCATCATGGCACACTGTGTCAATAAAAAAAATCAGAATTCAAAAGCCTCAGAGGATAATGGGAAAATTACCAGCTATGTATTTAACTATGGATTTCCTTTCTACCTTATTAGAACCAAAATAAATTTATTATGCTAGAAAAGTCTATTTGCATTTTTCTAATTTTATTCATGGTGACCAGCCAATGACATTGGGTCTCCCTAATTTGAGCAATCTTTTATTTAAATTTAACTACCTTTCCCAAAGCAAACAACATCGTTGACCTAAATGTCATACAACATTATCTGCTCATAATTTGTACCAATAGTCTCATTGTATTCCTTTAGCACACGGGCTTATCAGAAGAAATCACAGGAGACAGTGGGAAAAAAAAAAACAGATCATCAGCTCTTTGTAAAAAAAGAAAAAGAAAAAGGAAAGGAAGTCATGAAACAAAGATAATATTATTAACAAGTCTATGAAATAATTTGGTTAAATACATATATTTAATTGAAACAGAATTACATTTATACATATATAAATTGGGCACCCATCACTGAAGGAGAAAAATATAGTCCCAAGCTTACTGGCTAAACATATTTCTCCTTGACCTCACTTTTTCCTGGCTGCCTTGGCCTCTAAAATGTGCCACTGCATGCAAATAACTCTTTCGAATCCTTTTGCTAATTTTACAAGTCAATGATTAGCACCTTTTTGGATACCCTCATTACTTTTTGGGGTAGCTAATGGACATAAAATCACCGTGAAACATTGCAGCCCAGCTGCACGCTGCAACTAACCATATGTTACTTGTTCTTCTATATATTTGATGATGGGTGGTTTTTTTTTTTTTTTTGCCAGCTTTCTTCTTAAGGGTAAGAGAATTGCAATGGGGTTTCACTTATTTATGCATTCTTTGTTCTTTAACTACTGCAAAGGGATGCATGCTAGCTCAAAAACATTCACATTTCACCTAGGTTTACTAATAGAACTGGAGCTGGCAGTGATGGATCAGGAAAAAGGTATCAGAATCAGAGGGGACTGAAAATGTCAACCCCATATGTAGCTGCTATTAAAGGAAACAAAGAGAAAAACAAAATGAAACAAAGCCATCTATGCTCTGAATAATTTGGAACTGAAAACAGAACTTCTGATATACAAGTAGTTCTTGACTTACAACCATCAGAAAGTACAGTGGCACAGAAAAAAGTGGCTTATGACCAGACCCCACACTTATAACTATTGCCTCACCGCCATGGTGAAGTGATAAAAATTCAGACTCTTGGAAGCTGCCTTGTATGTATGATGGTTGCAATGTTTTAGGTTATACGATTTCCATTTGTGATCTTAGCAATTGACGTTTGACAAATGAAGTCATATTTGTTTGACAACTATTAGATTCTCTTAATAACTACGGTCATTCTCTTGAAATGGAAATCCTTGTCCTAATTGCAGTTATAAGTTGAGGATAAAACTTATATACCACTTCACAATGCTTTTTACTGCCCGCTCTAAGCAGTTTACAGAGTCAACCTGTTGCCCCCCAAAAATCCAGGTCCTCATTTTTACCCACCTCGGAAGGATGGAAGGCTGAATCAACCTTGAGCCTGGTGAGAATCAAACTGCCAAATTGGAGGCAGCCAGCAGGCAGCAGAAGTAGCCTACAATGCAGCATTCTAACCACTGCACCACTGCGACTCTTTAATATTATTGTCCTACAGGTGGCCCTCACTTAATGTGCACACTTTCAATGACCATTTGAAATTATGCTATCATTGAAAGACAGTTACTTTTGAATCAGAGACTATTTCATCATCCTCATGGTGACATGATCAGGATTCAGACACTTCCATAGCAGGCTTGCAATTATAACATTGCCATGTCTCGTTATCATGTGATCACCATTTGTGACTTTCTCTGCCTCCTTCTGACAAGCAAAGTCCACGGAGAAGCTGGTGGGAGGTCATCAAATGATGACCAAATGACCACAGAATGCTGCAACTGCAAAATATCTGCCTAAAATTGGCAACTGGAACTTCTGGAACTACTGTCATAAGTCAGTGCTGTTACATGACTTTGCCTTATGACTATTTCACCTAGGAACAGAGTTCACAATCTTAATTTCCATTGGGAAGGGAGATTCTATCTGGTTAGAAAACCATTATGAGACCTCACTTGAAATAGTAGTGGGGTCATCATGGGGTAGTAATAGTGGTATTCTCATGGGGTTAAAAATCAGAAAGATGGTAAATTAAGTTTAGTAAGATCAGCCTTGATTGAATATGTGCATAATATTGTTTTCCACCTCTGAGTGGTTTTTACTCTATCTATCTATCTATCTATCTATCTATCTATCTATCTATCTATCTATCTATCTATCTATCTATCTATCTATCTATCTATCTATCTATCTATCTCTACCTATATATCTATATCAATATCTTATATCTATATCTTATATCTCTCTATCTCTATCTACCGTGTTTCTCCAACAATACGGCCTCCACCAATAGGAAGGCCCCGCATGTTTTATCGGCATAAGCCCCTCCCCCAAGTTAAGGCCTATATTAAACATGCGAAATGGGGGGGAATGGCAGGGGGAGGGGCTTACCATTAGGAAGTACTTTTGTTGCATACCCGGATATGGTGCTGCCTGCATTGACTTTGGCGTTGGTGGGGCACTTCGTATCAGGAGACCTTCCTCCACCATTGCTTTCCCTTCTCCCTTGCTGCTGTGGCGTTTAGAGCAACTCTGCGGCATTTGGCGCAGCCATACACAGCTAGCCAGGGCCTCCCTGCAACCGGAGCCTGGTGGAGACACTCGGCTTCAGGCGCTCATGTTGCTGCCTTCCCTTCGCCTTCAAAGGCAAAGCCAATGACACCCTACTACCGGTATGACAAAGCCTCCCCTGCCCGAGAGGGCAGACCAACCCCACATGGGGAGGTGAATCTCCCAGGTCCGCAGCGCAGGATTGGCCCACCCCGGGAGAAACACCCAGCCGCCATCCCTGCCTGGCGCTGGGCAGAGTGCGAAGAGTTTTTCCTGGGGCGCCCAGAGCAGCTGACAGGTGGGCCCTCCTGCCTGGTGGCAGACCTCTCACCAAGGTAGTGAGCACCTCCCCGTTGGACCCTCTGCTCATCCCATCAGGGCCACGCCAGAGCTGTGCGGGCTGGGCAGAGCCGGGAAAGCAAGCCGTGGGTGGGCGCCCGCCTGCCAAGCAAAAGAGCCGGGCCGACCCAAGCTTGGCTTCCTTCCCAAGTCCCTCCAGCCCAAACCCGAAGGGGCCACCGGGAGAGGCTGCCCGAGGCAGTGATAGTGCCCACCCATCCGTGGACAGGGAGGCAAGGCGTGGCCTGTGCCGTGTCCTCCTCCGAGCTGAGCCCCACCGAGTCAGTGCCTCTGCCTGATGCCCATTCCGCTGCAGTGTTTGGAGCTGCCGGCGCATTTGGAGATGCGTGGGGACGGGGACAGGCTGGGCGAGGGGTGGAAAGGACGAGCGGCTTTGGGCTCTCTCCGCCGGCCAGGGAAGCAGCGCTGCCATCACCTTGCCTCCCTGTCTGCGGATGGGTGGGCGCTATCACTGCCTCGGGCAGCCTCTCCCGGTAGCCCCTTCGGGTTCGTGCTGGAGGGACTTGGGAGTAAGGCCAGGTCCGGTTCGGCCGGGTCTTTTGCTTGGCAGGCGGGCGCGCACCCGTGGCTTACTTTCCTGGCTCTGCCCAGCCCGCATGGCTCTGGCGCGGCCCTGGCAGGATGAACGGAGGGTCCAGCAGGGAGGCGCTTGCTGCCTTGGTGAGAGCTATGCTGCCGGGAAGGAGGGCCCACCTGTCAGCTGCGCTGTGAGCCCCAGGCGAAGCTCTTCGCGCTCTGCCTGGCGCCAGGCAGGGATGGCAGCTGGGTGCTTCTCCTGAGGTGGGCCGATCCTGCGCTGCAGCCCTGGGAGATTTGCCTCCCCACGTGGGGTTGGGCTGCCCTCTCGGGCAGGGGAGTCTTTGTTGTAATAGGGTGTCGTTTTTAAAATAATTGGCTTTACCTTCAAAGGCAAAGAGAAGGCGGTGACAGGAGCGCCTGAAGCAAGTGTCTCCGCTGGGCTCCAGTTGCAGGGAGGAGCTTTGGCTGGCCGCACATGGCTGCGCCAAATGCCACAGCATTGCTCTAAACGCCGCGGCAGCAAGGGAGAAGGGAAAGCAACGATGGTGGAAGGTCTCCCGATACGAAGTGCCCCACCAACGCCGAGGTCAACATCCAAGCTGTCACTGCCCACCCTCCCGAGGATGCAAGGGGGGGGAATTAAGTCACCCCCGAAAAGACGGCCTAGCCGTTTTTTGGGGGGTCAAAAAAAATAAGGCC